CTTTACAGCCTGATCTCCCTCTATCCTAGCCGTTAAAAAGTTTGATGTGCGTGCTTAAAATACAACACCCTCACAAAGTGGGCCAACAGCCCAAAATACTTTGTTCGGTCCCAATGATGCAAACTCTGAATACGTTATTGTTTTTGACCCTACTTTAGAGCTTCTCCATTTCCTTGTTTCCAATTTTACAAAACTTTCAAACATATTTTTTACATCTACTGGACTAGTACTATAACCTCTGATATGTTTCGTTGAAGATGAATTTGTATGGTCAACGGTTACATGTGACGGATGTAGAATGTCACCCTTGATTGGTGAACGCTATTATTGTAAAACATGTGATAATTATGATTTATGCACTCGATGTCAACAAAAAGGACATGAACATGAATTAATGCTAGTACCACAACTAAATGAGGACGATGACCAATTGCATAGAATGATTAAACAAAGTATGAAAAATGAAGTGAACAAATTGTTTTCTTTTACATACTAAATTTATATGCTTGAATGTTCAAACAAATATTTGGGAAAGTCTGAAGATGGCTACCGAGAAATAACGTGAATCTGTGAAAGAAATTAGGTGAACTGTAAAAGACAATGAAAAGCCATGAAGACAGCACAGATAGCAGACAGCGATACGAATTTTCAAATCAACTAAAATCATAAGTATTTTTTGACTGAGGATAGATCAGAATACATTTGATTTTTCTGTTGTTGTTGTATTTTATTTAAGTATTCAGTTCACCTCTTTTCTTTGATATAATTAGAATAATCTAAAATATGATTAGAAATTGATGTATCTGAAAAAATATCTTAGTTTATTTGATTTTAGAAACAAATAATCAACCAATATTTGAATGGCGTTCTGTAACAAATGATTTGCTTCCATTAAACAAATGTGTAGCTGGACATAGACGTGGTGGTCTACCAATATATGTTGGTCGTGCTTATCATAATTATCATTTAATACCAGGTACAGTTTTACCAACATACGATTGTATATGTGTTCCGTATAGTGGCTCTGCACATTATTATACTTCATATGAAGTTCTAACTAATCCAAATGACTATAAACTTCAATGGATTATTTCATCAAATGGAAATGTACCAAAAGGTGCAATTAAAGGTGGTCATGAAAGCAATGGTGGAATTTATTACATAGGTCGTGTAGCATGTGGAGGTGCATTTGAAAGTATTGGAAAAGTTCATCCAAGTCTAGAAGCCTTGTACGTTCCTTATGGATCTAAGGAATGGTGTTTCGAAGAATATGAAGTACTTTGCTTGGAAACTGAGGTCTCTGACGAAGATGATAACTCTGGTGATGATTCAGTGACGGATTCAGATGGCGATTGAAGATAAATTTAAATAAATTATAATCATATTAAGCAATAACAATTACAATTTCTACAAATGATTTAGTGTTTTGCCAGTTTTTTTTAAAGACACGAAAGACATAAATAAAAATGATATAAAAAATGTTCATCAAGTTAATGGCTAAATTAATTTAATAAAATTGTTCACTAGTGATCAAAATGTTGTTAAATTAATTAATTAAATAAAAAAAACGAAGGGATGCGTATAAGAACCGAAATCGATCTACTATCAACTTTATTATATCCTTGGATATTTGTTTGAACTATTTATAATATTTTTGATAAAAAATTTCACAAAAAAGCCATTTTTAGAAACATTTTTAGGGATATTATTTCGACCTACCTCTTCATAATACAAAAAAGACCCAAACAAATTTCGTCTGTAAATTTATAAGCGCACTTACATCTGTTAGAAAATGACAGTCTATATTGTGTTTATGCTTATTTTGTAGAAAATTATGTTCTCTACCTTTCCACGTGAAAATCAATGTTATGTGGTTGAAGTTAGTTGAACTATAATCAAAAGATTATTGAGACCAACTCTGGACAAAGATCGCATTTTATCATTCTTTTGTCAATTTCTTTTGTATTTGTATTCATAAATGATGTTCCATTTTCGAAAATGAGAATGTATTTTGTCTTTATGCTCATTTTATAGAGAATTCAATTGTCTATCTTTCCACGCACTGGTTCGAAAATAAAGTAGTCACTTGTTGAGCGAGTACCCTTTTGACGTGATTATCGTCGATTTTTCAGTTATTGATCAGACTTCAGCAGGTGGAAAAAAAAAGTAAGGAGCTCAGGTTCGAAGAGAAGTTCTATAAGGAATAAGTTTTCTTCCAAAACTGTTTAGAACTAGAACTGAAAAGGAGCAAATGATATCGCTTTTACCTAAGTTGTACCTATTTCTATCAATCTTTTTTCAACAATAAAGTGCTATACACAAAAAATGAGAAAAAACAGAAGTGGAGAAATCAGACATACATAGACACGATAAAACAATCTCTACTGGGTAAAGCTACTCGTATAACAACCAAAAAATCTTTACTACTACTGAGTAGTAGTGAAGATTTTTTGGTTCATTATGGCAAAATCGACTTTTTATACGGGGGTTTTCATGAGCCAGCTTTAATTTCATTAGAACCGGCATAGTCTAAAACGGTGGGGAGCAAAGTTTCATCTGATTCAAATGCGGAATAAAAAAGTTGAAAATTTTCACCCATACTTCTAGTAAAAGTCATCCGTATGGTCTATAGCAACACCCTGATTGGCGCCATATACACCAGTGATTTTAATATGCGACACAAGGATAGCGTACATAGTAAAATTTAGAGAAATTAAACTATTTCCTGAGCTGGGAACATGAAAGTTGAACTTAGCATGCTTCAGCGCAACGAATAAGCGTGAAACAGATAAAAAAAGCGCTTTCTGCGTTAATCAAAACTAAGTACGTGCGAACCATCGAAATGGCGCCTAACATGAAAAATAATGACTCATAAGCTGGTTTTCTTTATTTTAATAGCTGATTACAAGTATTCGCATATGTCTGAGCATTCAAGCATTTGCTACAAGAAAGTTAGACATAATTCCCTTCGTGTTTTGAAATAATTTTGGAAACGGGTGAAACATCTTGCAATAACTAGATAATTGAGTTTTCCACAGCGTTATTCATTTAATTTATTTGTACCCGATTTCAATAATAACACGAGTCTCTCGCATGAATTTGAGTTTTATATATGTTCGAACCACTGTAGACATCAATTGACAACCACTTTTCTATGAATTTAGATACATAATTCTCACACTACAATCGATATAAAATGGCAACTGCTAATGAAACAGATCTAGATGCTGATGATCTCTCACTCATATCATCCTTATCAATAACAACAACGAGAACATCATAACAACTTCCGTCTTCTCCTCTTACTATATCGCGACAAATCAGAGTATTTAGATCTAGAAGGGAATGATCAGAAGGATCAGATTGTTTCAGATTTATTGAGAAATGGTCGTCAAGCATTATTTAAATACGAAGACGATACTATCTCTGAAATATATACCTATGAATCGACACGAGTACAGGAAGAGAGTCCATTATTAAAACTAATTAAACAAGATGTTGAAGAAACATGGGACACACTATTGTCACAAAGTCAACCGGAAATCATGTTATTTTTTAATAAAGTTAAAGATGAGAATTACAGTCATTTTGATAATGTATTAAGAAGAGTAGCAGAATATGGCACGACGTATACAAAATCATCATCAATATTATCACTCGCGCTACAGATGGTTATTCACGGATATCGACGATGAATGTTTAACGACAACAAATGTTTTCTTTGAATTATGAAATTGTATTATCAACCACGGTATACAAAAGAAAAAAAGCTTAAGATGATTTAAGAGATCAAATCTATGATGATCAGTCTCCTTTACACTTAGCATTATGAATGTACTATCAAGAGCAGATACCTAAAATATTTGGTGAACAATGTAAAATTCCTAATAAGAATGGTCTGTATGATATGGCTATTGAGAAAATTATGCAAAATGGATGGCTGTCAGGTATTGAATTAATTCAGAAAAAATTAACGCCGAAAACCTACAATTCATTGATTGAATCGAAGTTAAAATTATTAATTCCAATTCAATCGTCTGCCACTTCAGAATTTCCAAGTACTATAACAACGGGTGAGAACATCTTTTTATTGTTACAGGAAAAGACAGCACTGTTGGAAATTTTCGTACCTACCAAGAAGCAACTTCGTACGAAAAGTAGTTGACTTTTTGCTAGAATAATACTATTTTTCTCTCATAATATGACTTCTTCCGTTTTGGAGCACGATCAAGCTCTTGTTTATCATATCTTCAAGTGTTGAGTTCCAAAGTTAGCTTGTATTTTGCTGAGAAACTTTCGTGGGTATGAAAAACAAATCTCCTGTTCGGCCTGGCCAGCTAACGCTACCTGCGTATGTAATTCCGTTTTTGATGATTTTGTGTTATTTGCAGAAATTTTTGAAAAAGTCAGAACTCAAAAGTAAATAAACCATTTTGTAGACAATTTAATTCTCTATCGACTGACCTGATTTTGAAACGTTTTAGCGAAAATCTCTTGGTGAGGAAATTCAAAACAATGAGTTCAAAACTTTACTAAATTTATAAAAAAGATATGCAAAAAGTAGCTCTCAGTGTTTTCAATTTCCTAACCAAGAGATTTTCGTTAAAACGTTTCAAAATCAGGTCAGTCGATAGAGAATTAAATTGTCTACAAAATGGTTTATTTACTTTTGAGTTCTGACTTTTTTC